GTCAGTTAAGTCCTTTTGGTTGCAGATTTATATTTGTAGGTAAAATCAATTCGTCCACAAGTCCAATTATTGAAGGAAGTGTACAATAGATATATTTATCTATGTTTATATTCACAGGTTTGTCAAAGTCATATATATATATATATATATATATGAGCATACTCCACTTTTATAAAAAGGTCTCTCGTAAAGATATTTTTTATCATGATCTCGTTAAATTTGTTGAAAACAAAGTTTTTATTGAGAGAAATATGACAATGAAGTCTCTTTTTTGTCTACATTTCTTCTCCCTTCCTATATTTCCAATGGGTAGGCCTACCCGATGGTCTTCCCAGCATTATTCGCGCCTAGAAAATACCGACTGCTGGAATGCTCACCAGGGAGTGGAGAATGCGCAGGTATTTTGTACGGTCAAGCCTTCATCCCATTAATAGAACATCTTTCATGCGTTTTTCAAAGTGCCATTTAACCCCAGAATATTGCCATTATAACTATCGGGAAGAATGATGATAAACGGAGATTCTTTTATCATCGTGACAGTCAGTATGTTACGCAAATTCCGTTTTAATATTTCCCCATGTTCATTTCAATATTTTCATCCAATTTAGTTTATTTCATCTCTCTTTAATAGTACGAGCACTGTTTACTCTAGTTCTCCCCCACCACACCTGCCCTCATTTCCAGCCTCCTCGTCAACTCCCTGTCCTTCTTTAAAAGACTTACGGGATCACTTTCCTATATACACCTACGATTATCCAAAACATTGAAAACCAATGTTTGCATATCTGTGAAAAAATACAATTTTTCGGCAAGATTTACGATGCGACGCGTGCGCACGTGACCCCTAGTCTGGCTCAGATTACCAGCTTTTCATGGCCAAGAATGCCGACTTTTCGGAAGTGGCACTTAAAGCACTTGTCCCCCTAATATTTTATTTTAAAGGCAGAGTGTGATGGTTTAACGCGATCGATTTGGTGTGATTTAAACGGCGATTTAGAGGCTATGAAGGATGTGTATATAAAAACCCATTCATGATAGACTAGTCTTTACAAGATTTGTTGTTTATCATTATCCTTCCGATTTGTTTCAGCTCCATCCACATGATAACTATGTGTTCACTGTTTTAATTTGTGATAAGGCCTATTAAGTAGTTGTCCTAAGTTATGATAGTACAAACCATAATATAGAAATAGCTGCACATTATGTTTATTTTAATAGATCATTTCATTATTAATATTAATGTGTTTTCCCAAACATAAAGAAAATTTTGGGACTATAGGTAATACCAAATGTTCATAGTTCAAGTAGAATGTAGTGTTTTTAGAATGTTTTGACAGCTAAAACACACACGATGTAAGTATGTAAACAAATTGTAAGTATTGCTATCATAGGTTCAATGAACGTTTTAAGGCCTACAATATGAAATGAACATTTTTGGTGGCGAGTAAAGCCTGAATATTGACAAAATTAATCGCCCCTACTTACAAAAACATCATCACTATCGTTATTTTGATTATTATTACAATCGTTATCATTTCCTAACAACAAAATTACACATCGCATGCGATGTGCTTCATATTACCGATCCTAAATTTCAGCCCCTTGACAGAATGTGTTTATTGACACTTTGCCAAGATTTGAGAGACATGCTTTAATGTCAACATCCTTAAGCATTTGACTGAGTGATTGACTTCCAGTGACCGAGAAGACAGCTTCGAAATTCAGAGCAATAATGGAAGAAAAAAAATGGAGAACGTTTTATTTACTACGAGATAATTTGTTATAGATAGTTGCAAGCGCCACATGTATTTATATATATATATATATATATATATATATATATATATAACAGAGAGAGAGAGAGTGTGTGTGTATGTGAGTGTGTTTGTTTCTGGTTGATTTGATGGTATTATTCAATTAGTTATTTCATAGGATGGGTGTTTTTTTATGTGAGTAGTTCATCGTTGAAAAAAGCGAACTCTCCAAGCTATTTTCCTTACTCAAAAGTCAAGGTCTTTCATATCTTCTGCAATTTCAGTTTACTAGTTTTTGTATGTATTATAAACACTGTATAACACAAAATAACTTTAGCTTTTTGGTTATCGTGACGCATCTGTGTTTCATATTTAGTAGGCTATGTCATATGCATCGTTCTGCTTGCTTATTAGTTTGTTTTATTTACTTCTGTACTATTTTTCTCTTTTAAATCAGCATGTATAACCCATTTCACTTCCTTTCCGAAATTCTTCTGTTCTTCCATGGGGTCATACCGACCTCCACCTTGTTGTTGATACACCAATAGAACTTCTGTAAGTTATGTATGGGGATGAACAACGGCGCTCATTATGTCTGTATATTACTTTCATTAATCTCGAATCATGTTTGTACCCCCGGGGCTCGGGAAACGTATGCTGACCGAATCTTGCTACCCGCGCAATCGTGAGTTCCCGCCAAAATACGTAGCCGCGTGGCGCCATTTTCATTACATCGTGCGCAAAGATATACGTACATTACCCATTGGGGAGAAGGATATACGGTGTAGTGCATGTAAATTGTTTATCAGTGATATACTCCCTATTGTATTTGTTCGGGTGTATGATTATGCGATAAAGACGATATGTAGTAAACCTAAATTAAGAGTATGAAAATTCGTTTATGCACATGCATAGGGTTTTAGAAACGTATGTCCGTAGAATAGGCTTTTCACCTATAACTTGTACGGATGAACGTGTGCGTGCGTGCGTGTGTGTGTGATGATTTTATCCGACTGTTCGGAGATTGAGTGACCAATTACAATAAATTATTAACGTCTTTCTTGTTTTGTTTCATCTTTTGAAATATTGCTTTCTTGAGATCATTATGCCAGGGATCACTGTCGATAAGATTTGCCTTTGAAGGTTCTTGCACAAGTATTTTGTAATATACATTTGTAAATGTCGAGCTTTGGTGAATTAATGAATTTACAATGAAAACATAATAGGCTGATTAATATGTTGGATTTCTAATGAAATAGAAAGTATCCTTCTTGCCGGAGTAGCTTACTAGCTTTAAGTAAAACAAAATAATGCTAGAAAAAATGGTTGAAAGAAAGCTTGGCCCGAAATTGAACCTGACGATAATTGTGATTCAGTATGTTGGATTTCTAATGAAATAGAAAGTATCCTTCTTGCCGGAGTAGCTTACTAGCTTTAAGTAAAACAAAATAATGCTAGAAAAAATGGTTGAAAGAAAGCTTGGCCCGAGATTGAACCTGACGATAATTGTGATTCAGTATGAATCATGGTACACATACTAATAGCAATTCAAAACGAAACCGAGTCCTACCCATCTGAACACCATATGTATCTCAAGGTGGTGATAGTCATCAGTTTAAATTGGTTTTCAGGTACTTTAAACACAATAGTTCTCGGTAGGATAAAAAGTATATTTTTCATATATTTCATTACATTTGCATTAAGTCTTAAATGGATGGTACCTGCTAAAATAAAATGATTTATTTCTTATAACAGCTGCCCGTACTAAGCAATGAAATACGAAACCATATGGTCTTTCAAGATTATATTAAATAACCTTGCCCCACGTGTACACTTACGTGTAAGTGTACTTCAACACAGGTCACCTTCTGCAATACAGTATTTCGTAATCACGTTTGCAATTATATTTTCAAATTCAGTTTAATAATTTATGACCAAATATTATTCCAATACGTTATGCCAGTTTCTGTTCAAAATTCAGTGTCTTTATTAGGCATATATAGGCTTACCACAAATCACGGTAATGTATAAATTATGTTTTTGCTTTTGTAACGCCATGATAGGCATTTCCGTCGGAAATTGTTATTCATTTATTTATCGTATTAATTCCGGTTCATTCTTTTCTTTGCGGGTATTTAATTCATATCTCCTTATCTCAAAACGCATTACATCATAAAAACCGTCTGTTCAGAGCCAGTAGGGCGTTGTCTCTGTGTTAAAGGATATGGGTAACCGCCATTCTGGCTTCAAAGAGAACTTTAATTATCAGTACATATTGTTCTCGTTCTTCTGTACAGTCGAAGAAATAAACGTGGAAGGTATCATTTACACACCATGTGCATGGTGTATGCACCAAGGAGGAAGCAATGTAATTCAATCTGGGGAGTAATTGCATTCATAAAATAAATCGCAGCTGGGGATCGGATTTTACTTTGGTCATTGATGCCTGTCTATTATTTGTGTGACTGCAATGAGGGTATGTATCACACAAGAAACGGAAACACACACGTGGAAAGGTAAAAGCGTTTCAAGTTTATGCTATGCTGTTTTCAACAAGCCGAATATTTTAGATTTTGGTTTATTTTGTGTCTTATTGTAAACTGTATTGAATTGATTGTGATGAATGTATAGACACGTGCTATAGTTTGGAGCACATGGAGAAAATCCGCATTGCTTCATGTAACTTGCAACTTGCAAGCTTAAAAATAATTGAATCATGATTTGAAACTTGTAGTAAAATGCATGGTCTTAAATTTGAGCAGTTGAATCGCAGGATTCTCTTATTTACTTGTAGGCGTGGGGAGCTTGAAGAAGTAGTAGAAGCCTTTTGTCACAATTATGTTCACTAGTTTAAACTTTAATTATCGTCAGGGTTTTTATGCTTCCCAATTACATGGCATATTATCACGATTGTATCTCATCTTCAAACTGTTTTGTTTCTGTCGAATCCACGGCACTCTAACTATGCATGGCAAAACATCATTCAATGGTGACTAGTCTTGCAACCATTAGTTTAAATTAGGGGAAAACGTGGTTATGTTCATTTTGGTAAGAATACCTATTTTTCAATGTATGAAAGTACGAAGGATGAACAGGAAGACATGGAAAGCTTGACAACGGAATACAAAGTTTTAAGAAGGTTAAGACAAGTCGATACAAGAGGAGATGGAACCAAGATACACGTTTTAAGTTGGAACCTTTCTAGCAGTGTCTTGCATCGTGGAAAGGATCTTCGGACAACTTACTTCATACTGACTCTGCTTTTCTCTTTGGTTATCTAGCTGTATGAGTGATGTCAATGCATCATAAAGCTAGGTTACCAAAGATAAGTGCCTGTTGTCACATGTCGCCCCTGGAGATACTCCGGGGGAATCCCCTCCATACCCGAGGTCAAAGGTCCCTTGTGAAACAAGGAGCTTCCCTGCTCAACACGAATGGATTACAAATCGATTGATGGATCATGGACAGGTGTAGACTGGTAAGTGAATATTTTGATACCGTTCAGGTAAAGGTGGATCATCTATGCCAGCTCTAGGTTCTGTAGATTACCTGTCTGACGATAGATTTGTTTCTGGTGTAGTGATATGTATGCAAAGAAAAAATAAGGCGACTTCACACTAGAATTACATGTGAATTAGCTTTTAATTAGAGCTCCCAGCTCTTTAGATAATCACAAATCAAATTAGAATCAACACATGGATAACATTTCGTTATTGAATGATTGAAACTAAATAAGCATGTTATGATGTAAACATGTCAACTATAAGACGGGGCCATGAGTAGAAATTAAAACAAACAATTATATACACAGAAAAATTAATGTACAGCATAAGTGAAATGCATGTACAACAATCTGAATAAAACAGGAAATACTCAAATATATAGTATTTAAGTATTTGAAATTACTACTCCATTTATGATGATCTAGTGAGTGCAATTCAAAATGTTATATCCCACAATTTGCATTGCTTTTCCACCATCTTTAGGGCGCATCCATAACGATGTCAAATCGGTCTACCAATTTGAAAAAAGTCACTCCTCATCCCCTGTTAATGTTGATTTCAAACCTTAAGTTGTAGAGTGTCCCTTTTAAGTGATTTAAAGTACAGCTTTTACTCATCTTGTCTTGTACTTCATTTATCAGATTCAATTTAAAACAAAGCCATACATTTCATCGATTTTCTTCTACAATCTTCTCTAGCAATCTCGCATGTGTTTATTTGTTTTGTTTTGTTTTACCTGACTGCTAAAAAGGCATGTTTATGCTTGTAAGTAAGCAACCAGGGGATCGACGGCTTTAGGTCCTCTCCAAGGGACTTGGTAATGAGGATTAATGCCTTACCAAAGGGCGACAGCGATTCGCCTTGGTTTCGAACCTGGGCCCTCCCGGTTACGAGACCACTTCTCTACCACTGAGCCATCGCGCCTCCCTGATGCTCAAAGATGTCATTTATTGCATGTATCTTGTTTGTTTGTTATCCTCTTCCTTTGTTCTCAAATCTTACAATAAATCGATGAAAGTTGGTACTTGGTAATTAACTATTCCTTTCTTATTCTGAAAAAAAGCAATGCTTACTTTTCTTTCTGGTCATGGAAGAAATTTGTCGTGAGGTAATATTCTCACGTAATGCGTTGTGCTTTATTTCAGTCACATGCCTTTTTCTGAAAATTAGGGATAATGAACTATGCTTTTAATTATGTTCGTTTATCAAATGATTAAATGTTTTTGTATAACAATGTTCAGTTTGTATAAGCAGCTGGTTGGGATTATGTAAAATATTTTGCTTCTGTGATATGCATGAACAAGAACTGGAGTTTTAAGAAATAAAAATCAATGAATACCCCTCCCCCCCCCCCCCCCAACAAAAAAAAAACAAAAAAAAATGATGAAAATAGCTTCACTAATTTTTTTTTTTTGTAAACGGTAAAATGGACACGGATGTCCACTTACTTGAATTACCCGTCATAATATTTCAATTATCTTTTTTTTCTACATGTAATCACATATTTTTTATTTTCGAAGTTGCAGGCAGTGAGCTGGCAATTATTAGTCAAACTCGTGTCAAGGTTCATTTATATTATCTTAATATTATACAAACAAACAAGTGAAATTGTGTAGAGCTATATATATAGTCAAAAAGTAAGAAAATAGTTTCCTTGTTTTTTTGTTTTTTTTTAGTTTTTTTTTTTTTACTTCAGCTGTCCTGTATAACATGATGGGATGTATTCAATTTTATAATGTGTTTGCTTCAGGTGTTACTGATAAAAGAGTATTGATGTAGATTTGTTCAATGAATGTTATCAATTGATTTTTCTTTTTATACAAAAAGGTGATCGGTAAATTTTAGTGCTTTGGATTTCCATGTTAATTTGAGCCATATATTTTATTGCAATAGTATTCATTTGACTCTTACATATTGTTTTAAATTTCATAATAAATATGTGAACCATTTTTTACTACTGGTATACCATACTAGCTCTGTTATATGCCATGTGCTATGTTATGTCGAGGAGGTTTTTTTTTTACTGGTAACTAGTTGGTCATTTATAGAGATGGAATTGTTGGTAAATATAATATATATAGATATATATATGTATATATGATAAGTTATTGATGATGACAGTAATATTAATAAAGCCAATCAAATGTAAGTAAACTACACTAAACTTGTCTCTTTAAACTATTTGCAAATCAAAGCTTCGTGTAAACTTTTTGCGGGTTTTATGTTGTTGAAATCGTATAGGAAACGGGACATACAAACTCAGTTTTACGTAAAATGAAGATGCTTAGGGCCTATATTTGTAATGAATAGTATAATTAAGTAATTCTATATTCCAAATACTTAATATGTAATTAATTAATGTGTTATTTAAGAAAGCTGATGATGATAATCATTTGCTGTTATTTATGAATGATTATGTTGATCAAACTCATTGTGTAAAATTACATGTGGAAGCAATAAGGAAATTCCGGATCAAATCACTTGGAAAAAAAAGAAGACAAAGTTGATATTTTGGCGGGAACACTGATCTTTGTGATATCTGTTGAACTGTACAAACTCTCTTTGTTCGTACATGTGTACTATTCCATTATTGCAAAACCTTGAAATATGCATGATCAAATGACCAGCCTTGAAAAATAGTTTTGAGTGCTGATCACGTGTGATTGAAAAGTGAGAAGGAAAACAAATCTCTTGGACTTTTCCTTAGTGGTCGATAATGTAATGCACGATGAAATGTGTATCATGAGTTTTTTTTTAGATTCATATGGATAACAAAGTATTGGAAATAAATTGGAAAAGCTTGCTGAAATGAGGCACAAAAATGGTAAGAAAATGCACACAAATATCACGAATATGGTTATATGGGACTACACAAACATGTGGCATGGAAGTTTGTTCAGAAATTTGGCTTGGAAAATGTCTAGTCATCTTTGGGATATGAGGGCATGGATTTCAAGAGGGAAAACACGATATTCTTCACCATGTGCATGACAAAGATGGGAAAGCTCCGCAAATTATTTTTCACTTTACAAGTTCAACACCCTCTTTAATTTTCTTAATACATGTGGTGAATATATTTACAGGCAATTTATTGGTTCATTTCCTTGTTAATTGTTATTTCAGGTCTTGGTGAAGCCTGTGTAAAGGGTAGAATTTCATTGGTGACCGGGTTTGCGACCAGTAAAACTGGGGCATAGACAGTCGGAGAGTTTCTGTTGGAAAATATAATGTTCACATTCAAAAGAGGAAGACAAAAATAATATCATTTTATTAAATTGAAGTTGGAAAATATAGAATTCCATTATTTACAGGAGGAGAAAACGAACCACATTTAGCACTCACTAAGAGTTATGATAGCAATTTGTTTTGTTTTCCTTTCAAATCAATGGCTAGCTGGTGATGCTGCCGGCAGTCAGGGGATTCATCCCCCGTATCTCTGGCGGAGATAAACCGTAATAATGGCCATGAATGCATGATTATGAAGCTATGTCAACCGAATACCATCCGATGCATACCAGAGCCTCCCGGACGGGAGGTTGCCCTGTGACCCGGATGGTGGGAGGGTCAATGCGAGCACCATGGGTGGAGATTCTTTTACCTAAAGTATAAAATAAAATACCCAACAAATTACATTAATCGTCTTTTGGAGGACTGTCTAGCGTTACAAAAAGGAAAATATTTTGGGCGTATCCTTATAACTCGTTTCATAATCTGTTTCAAAAGACCACGTTATTAATAATGTAACTCGCTTCTGGTATTCTTAATTTTTTTTTGAAATACACAGATAGTGTATGTGAAAGTAATTATTTCTTTAACAATGGAAGACTAAAATGATAACATATGAATTTATTGTAAATTCTAATCTTTGTTTACTGCAGATGCATTAAGTACTGACAATGCCAGGCTAAACCCAAATACACGGCAAATATTTTTAGCTGGAATAATTTTGGTAATGACTGAAGCACTGTCATGCACGTCATTAATGACCATAAATATGCAAAACACACTTTCCACGGGGTCACATTGGAAAGTGTGATCTAATCGAGTGTTCGGAGGCACTCTCTATACACTCGGGGCATCCCTCCCATGCTTTTTGGCGCCATTTCGCTCACGCCTTATTGTCTGGTCGGATGCATCTATACATGCATCTATACACGCAGCAATGCTTTGCGTGGCGGGTCATCATGAAGTCACCACGTGACTCCTCACGTGACCTATTGAGGGGGTCAACCCACAGCATGATAAGTCAAATTGCTCATCCCTAGTTAGAGAACGGTGCTCTGTTTCGATACACCAATGTATTCTAAATAAGGCAAATTTTGTTTTGTTTTTGTTTGGGGAGGGAGATTATTTCTCAATTCAATTTTTCAAGTAACTTTGACCACGAATCTAGATGTATTGTGATTCAACCCTTGTAATATTTTTAAGTGCCAAAAATCAACTTAAAAAACAGTTTCAATATTTAAACAGACATTTCTACTGATTCTTTATTCTTTCTTCTTTCAATATTCGTTCTTATGGTTTCTTTTTCGTTGCTTTCTTGATGTTCCAAATACTTTACATTTTTTAATGGCCCCTGAAATGAAACTAAAACGCCGGTTGAAATACTGAAGTCTAATGGTACTGTTGTGTTTGCAATTGAATAATAAGAAAAAAACTAAAAGGGAAATATCTCTTTCAGCACTTTAAACAAGAATTGTTTGGCATAAAACATTCCAAAATCGAGAAATTTCAAGCTGTTGGGACTGTATTCTGCACACAAATTTACTAGCTCGTTTTTACTTTTCAGATGTGTAAGCCGCGGTCTTCAATCCTACACGTAAATCTGCCTGCTTACATTTCAC